TGGTTTCCCAAGATTATCTTTTGGGAGGCAGCAGATGTATAATGCTCCTGAAAATGAAATGGACTATGACAGGTATGCTAAATTCTGCTTAGACAGGGTTCAGTGGGAGCTGGCCCTCCTTTATAATTTATATTACCATTCTGTCATATTTTAATGCAAGAAACAGTGTCTCCAGTCACAGGATTTCCCCAGTTTTTAACAGCAGAGGACAAGTAGGTCCTAGTTTTTTGGGGTTTATGGCTAACAGTAAGATTTCCCTTATTTTAAGGAAAAAAACACCAACTATTTAAGCAGTAAAAGAAAAAAAATGCAGAGGAAAATACATATATACTTCTGCTTTAAAAGAAAGGAATAAAATAGTTCATGCATCTTGTATATTTTAATAGAGCATAACACAACCAAGAATGAGGCCAGCATCACACAGTTCAGAGCACATTTTGCATTCTATGTACATTTACTTTAACATGTTTGTTGGAAATGCATTCTTTAGTCTTATTAATGATTTTTTTCAGTGGCAAATATTATCTTATAGTATTTTAAGCCAATTGAGGCTAATTTGCTGTGGGTGACTCACTTGTGCCTTTTCTTTAATAAATGTCCTTCAAATCATGCAGATTTTTGGATTTTACAACAGTGTTTTAGCTGAGATTTCAGGGTCCATTTTAGGGAACATAAATTACCAAGAAATTAATTTCTAAATAACTGGGAAAAATATATTAAAAATCATCATCATTATTATTGTTGTTGTTATTATTATTGTTATTATTATTATTTTATTAAAAAGAAATATTAAACTAATTTTTTGGTGAGATAGTTTTAATAAATACTAATGGCAGTGAAATATCTCCTGCCAGTGAGCCAAGAAATCTCTAGTATTCAAATAATCTTTAGAAGATGATGCGACTGGATTTGATGAGATTAACTGCAATACTTAAGTGGCTGTTTATGAACTCTAAACTAATGAACAGGTTAAATGTATAATCACTCAAGCTCTTTGTAATAGCTGCTACAGTTATTATCTGAGCCACACCACTTTTTAGCTTTCCATAATAAATTATTGTTGCAGGATCACTCAAGATATTCCTCTAGTGTAACATTTTCTCTTGATTTATCTTTTTTTAGCTCTTTTACTCCAATAATTGCAAATGGCACTAAAAGATGACATTGTATCTTTACTCTGACATAAAACATCACACATTTTTACAACAGGAAATCAAGAACAGTTTGTACAACTAAGGGGGTCTGGGTAGCCAGACTTGAAATTGTCTGAATTACTTTGTAAAATAAAATACCAAGGCTATTAACCTCTATTTCTTTGAAAATTGTGGTCTCCAGGGGGCTATTATCTCATGGTTTTGTTCAAAAATATAATCTCTGGTGAAATTAAGTTTTAAGGAGCACAGCAATGCTGGTTCTTTCAGTTTGGAAATAATTCACATCTGTTATTAAAATACCTCACTTCGTTACTGAAAAAATTACTTTGCAAATACACAAACCACTGCAAAATACACAGCTTTTATGAAAGTTTACTTCAACTGCCTTTGTCCTTTCCTGTAACTCAATTTTTTTTCAGAGAAATATAAAGTTGTAGACATACACCATAATGGTTAAGCCACTGCAGTTTTGTCACAAGCAAAATTTTCCCTTCTGGTTCAAGTCTGAACATTTCAAAGGCTCTGAACATGATGTGATCAGCCAAGTGAGAAAGGGACATCTTAAGGGCATACAAAATTGACAGCTGCTTAGACACAATTAAGTGGCTGTATCTTTTGGATGAATGGTCAGTCCAACCACTGTAAAAATTTCTAGATCCAATCCACAGCCATTAATAAAATATTATGAACACTGCTTGGCACAGTATATTTAATTTAACATAGCAGTTACTTTGGATATTTACAGTGGATATTTACAGTGGATATTTACAGTGTATTACAGTGAGATATTTTATAGTCTCAAATTAAAATACCCACCCAGATTCCAACATTAATGGACTTGATAAAAAACACTAAACCTTTAGTAGTAAATAATGAGTTAAAAAAACATCCTTGAAAAACAAAATACTTTTCCACCAGTTTGAAGACCTAAAGTCTAGAAATGTATGACCTAGATTTTTACAGCAAGGGGTCATTTTTGAATCGAGGAAGCCTGATTTTCAGAGACTACATTATGTTTCATGATGGAATGCAAACTCTTTTACCATGTAGTAAATTCAGAATCCCAGAATGAAGCGATTCCACTGATCCCTCTCTAAAACCCTGGTCTGGTGGAGAACCCTAGTTTAAAATCAAATCTATTTACAGATGTAATTGTTTTCTTTAATTTGACAATTTGGAGCCACGCAATGCAAAAGGAAAACAAAACCAGTATCTCTCTAAGAATTGTTGCATTGTTTTGATCAGCCCACTCAACACATACTAAAAAATAAAACTTCAAACATAGAGAAACAGCTTGTCTTTTAGTCGTAACTGCTGGTCTCGATCTAATTCTGATATCAATTTCACAAGTGTTCCTCTTCTCAGGGCTTCATACAAAAATAATTTGAACATAAAAACTAAAGGCTGGTTGCCCAGTCAATACTATATTTCCCACTGCTACTGTATATAAACTGCACTTGAAATTTCATCTTTAACAATGATCACTTAATTAAATAACTTACAGGTGTTTTATGTTGTTCTGCCTTTCTGGAATTTGATGAAAGGGGTGTAGCAGTTGACAAGCACTTGAACTTAAAAGAGAACATATCTTTGATGTCAAGTGTGTCTAAAGGATTCTCAAGTAAAAGTTATATGAAAATGGGCTCACCACCACTCAATCTATTCCCAACAGTTACCTGCTGGTCTAAGTGCCTCTGCACCATTATAAAAATCTGTCAAGCATTCAAAATCAATTACCCACAGGATGTCAAATGCTGCCATGCCAGCTGTCCTTTCAGTCCATGGCAGCTCTCACTGCCCATTTCCAGTTAACACATTGAGCTCCACTGTTGTTTTTCTCAGCTGTGATTCACTGCAGAACACTGATCTGACCTCTACATACCTTAATACCTTCATATAAGGAAAGGAATATTTATACATAAAAATCGTATTATAGAAATTTGCGTAATTAAAAATATAATGAAAAATTAAAGATATTTCAGGACATATTAACATCAGGCTACAATTTTAAGGGGAGACCATTAAGTACTTAAGTTGTTCATGGGTGTTGCCTTTTTCTGTGATTGCGTGTGACACTAAAACAGAAAAGCAGGTTTCAAATAATTCTCCTGCTGTCTCTTCTACACAGCACACGGATGTCATATATTCATTTGCCATGACAGGCAATAGGAATGCATAGTACAATTATTTAAAGATGTGAGTCCAAAATGAATGGCTCCACTTCACTACAGAAGCAGCCTTCCCAATTTATATTGAGTAACATACTACCTCCAGTGCTAAAAACTCTTTTGATAGCCACAAACTTAGAGGGACAATGTGCTCAGCTAGACTCAGATAACATTTGATGTAACATTGTTCTATAAAAAAAAACATCCCACCACGAAGCCTTATTCACTTTGTGATGAGTTATTTTCATTTTACCATTATTTGTTGACATAGGGTTTTTCCCTTTTCCATGTGAACTTTCGTTATCTTTAATGGATTATTTTTGCCATAATGATTTAAGTCTTTATGAGAAATAAGGTCTTGTTCCACAAAAAGATTTTCAATGGTTTGCAGAGTTTATAGAAGAGAGTGCTATGGCCTTTCATTGAAACCAAAACTGTAATGGAAACATTTTGTTTTCCTACAATGCTTTTCAGTACAGAACTTCAGAAATCTTTTGAAAGTTTTTGATGAAAAATCAAGACTTCTGAATCGAGAGCATCTGTTCTGACACAACTCTATTGCAAGAAAACATTCAAAATGCTTTATTTTCAGTCCACTGTGGAAAAAAACACAAACAAACAAACAAAACCCAAACAAACAAACAAAACAAAAAACACAAAACAAAAAAAACAAAAACAAAACAAAACAAAACAAAAAAAAACAAACCCAAGCTGTTGTGTGGAAGAACTGACATACCCCAAAAAGCTGAAAAAGGTTTGCTAATAGTGTCAGGGACGCTTTGCAATAAAAGTGCCAGAGGAATTAAACATGAGTTATTTGTCAAAAGCATTTGTATACACATTTATTGTGCAACTCTGCTGAAGACAACAGCAAAATACCACTTTCGAAGCATGGTGCTAAGAGAGCAAACAGCAAAGCCCACTGCACAGTTTCAAAGGTACATCTAGTGACAACTGTATTCTTCTAGCATTTATCAAATTCACACTTGCTCTGCAAAATATCTACAAAATAACCCCTAGAATATTTTAAAAGACGCCAGTCTTCCCACATAGTTGCTTTTACTACTCCTTCTAAAGTTCAGTCTCTTGCCAGCAGCCATATGTAGCTGTGAAATAGAGGTTAAGTCAAATAGCACAGTGAAAAACCAATGTTGGGAATTAAGAGGAGTGTGGCCCCACGTCCTAATGAGCAGTATGATGACATTCTGTCTCTGAGGCACATGCTTTATTACAGCCATGGAAAGCTATAAAAGTATTTTACTCATGTTTCAAATCAGAGAGAAAGAGCACCAACTGGATTTTTTCAATCATTGTTATCTGAATAACAGAATCATGGAAAAATCACATCTTGCTAAATATATGTAACAACCAGCAGCACTGAAAGACGAGGGCAATCCTCCAAAAGATGGATGTTTTTTCACCTGTATCTCTTTTAAACAAATGTTAAAGCTTAATGCCCATAATTAATGTTAAGAGCATGCTCTCTAGAATAGTGTAATCAATGTTGTTCAATATTAATACTTGTCATTTCAAACAAAAAAGGAAAATAAATTCCCAAATCATCTTTACCTTTAGTTACTTGCTAGAGCCTTCTCAAAACTGTCTTAATCCTTCTGACTATAAATAGGAACCCTCTTATAAAGCCCTCTGAAATGTATTTAGCAGGTAACAACTTTACCTGTCTCCATTAGGCCTTTGAGTATGATCTCTCCAAACCAAAGACTGTCTAAACAGAATCCAAGACTTCATGCTTCACTCCTCAATGAAGTTCTCAAGTGCTACAAAACAAGAAAATGTTCATTAAATGTAGTACCATTATTGATAATAGTTTAAGAGTGATAACATCAGCAGATGAGTCATATAAATACATTTTAACAAATCAAACAGCATCATTCACTTTCTCTCCAAAACAATTTGACACTGCTGTAATAAATTGATTGTCTCTCAAATGAACATATATCAGAGTTTTCAAGGTTACAGAAGTCTGCAGTCCTGAACAGGTTTTGTGTTCATTTTAAAATACTGAAAATTTTGCCCTCGTAATTCAGAACAATGGTACTAACAGGGTAATGTTCTATTGCATAGACCTGTCCATGCTGTATATATTGAATACTTTTTAAAAGAAAAAGAAGGATGAAGTAGTCTTGGTGACAATCATTCTTGGATTGTCAGCAGACACTGGCCAGAATAAATTACTGGATGCAGTACTGTTCACGTGATCATTAGAAACTTGACACTGGAAAGATATGATGTTAATCTGGCTGAAAGTAGAATGACTTTGATATCTTTAGAATGTTTCTTCATGCTTGGAAGCCACTGCCTATAATGTCTATCTGAAGAGTGTACTGTGGGGCCAATAGCAGCAAAAAAAAAAAAAAAAAAAAAAAAAAAAGCTTTTTTTAAAGAAAATGTCCCTTCAATGACCCACCAACTTAGAAAATATCTCCATCTATCAGAATCACAATCATAACACAAACCAGTGTCTGTGAAAAAGGTCAGAAATCAAAATGAAATGCAAAATAATTCTTACAAAGGAAACCAAATTGGTTCAAATACCTAGTGCTCTACACCAAGAACATGTAATAATGGTTGAAAAACAAATCTTGGGAGTGCTTTCATGATGAAGATGGTAACAGTGAAGTTTTGAGGGGCAATGACTCTTACTTAATTGCCAACAGGAAAAACAGTTAACTGAGTTGGACCTGACCCCCTGCCTAAATAGTGGACTAAACTCAAAATGGTCAAGACATCAAGTTAATAAAATTACTATGGCTGCAACCAGACAGGCTGAGGCTTTACTTCACATCACCTTTTTTAAATATACTTCATTGGCATATCTCTGGGGAGTGAGCTAACTCTACCTTAACCAAACTAAATGGAGTTGTTGTGACAGCAAGCAAGTGCAGTTGAGGAAAGCCAACCATACAGAAAAGGGATTCTTTGTTCAGTTGACCTGTAAATGTCACCAATGACCTGTGAACTACTGAGCCCAATGTTACAGAGTATTTTTAAAACTTAGGACCAGACTAATAATTCTCCACTTCATTTACGAAAACAGAGTCTCACAAACCAGTTCTGTTTGGCTGCACTTAGTATTAAAATTCTTTGAAACTAATGCTTTCAAGGCTGGTACATTTAAACCAGGAGAATTTGCATCAACTCCTACTGGAGAATAGGATAGATTTGGCTACATGCTCAGAGGGGGTCTAACTGCCATATGACCTGCTCATAATGAATATTATTCCCCCTCATGTCCTCTTCAGCGAATGATAAGGACTGTGAGTTTGATTCACAGGTGGGCTAAGGGGAAGTCAGGAGACTCACTGGACATGCTGAGAGAAACACATAAAGATCAGTGTTAAAGGTAAGTGGCATTTTATGTCCTTTTTGTGCTGCTAGGCAGAAAAGTGGCAGCTACTGATAACCTGGTTGTGCATTTGAATGAATGATGTGAGAAAGCCATTTACTTTAGAATTGAGAGGAAAGTCACAAAGGCACGTCAGATAAATTACAACTTGGCTGCCACTGCTGAGGCACAAACTGATGCCTGATGTTTGCAGGACACCCTCTACACAAAAACTCCTTTACAACCTTTCGAAAACAGCGACAAACGTGTGAAAACACAACACACATGGGTGAGCTTTTCTGCTTTCCTAGCACTCATTTATATGAAGAAGGTTATAATTGTTTGAATCCCTTTGAACATTGGATTAGAGAGCATCTGGAGTGGTTTGTGGTGTAGCCACAGGCCCTCCAAATCTAGGAAGCCCACTCCCACATGTTGGCTATGGTAGCCGAATGTGAAGGGCTGTCTGAAGGCAGGACAGACTAATGGACCTGCTGGCTCAACAGGTAATTCTGCAGCAGTGAAATGCACTAAGTAGGAGGGAGGATACTAAGCCTATTCTTTCAGAAAAAGAGGGTATGTGTTTTCAAGCAGATATAGAACTGGTTGTTTCTGTGTTTTACACAGCACCACTGGAAAGAGGCATCGTTCACTGAGCATTGACTATGCATGAAATAATATAAGGAAGTAACTATAAGTATTTACTAATTTATTTAATATTTATCACAGTCATGCTGTGATGCTCAATTCTACTTCAACATTGTGTCTTCACATTCATGACTGAACCAACATATTAAATGGTACTTCCAGGAGGAAATAAATAAGTTGTTCCCTATGTCTTTGGTGAAAAGGTCAAAAAAAGATTTAGACTGCAGCAAACATTTAACTGAGAGATTTTGGTTCTTATTATTTTGAGGGCATTATGGACAATTAACCAGCATAACACACCAGGCTTAAAAAAGGGGAAGTGGAATCTCGATCATTTTAACTTGTTTCTAAAAATATACAGGCACTCACGAAGTGAAGATATGGATTTGATGTTTATCCAGTGCAACATCAAACCTAAAGAAATCTCATATATAAAGAGAAAATTGCATATGACATTGTACAAAGTGGTATACATTGAAATACATAAAACGGCCTATTACTAGAATGAATGTCAGAAAAATACATTTTCAGTTTTCCTCTTAAGTGATATTCCATCTACTGTGGAATAATATCCTGCTACCCATAGCTGGAAACGGTCTTTATTTTTGACCTGCATATCTCTGGGTACTAAACTAAAAAGATTTTAAATTCACCTTTTAGGCAATTGCAACATTTTTAAGTTTGGCTTTTCTAAAGAATTTTCTTAATACTATAAAAACTAAACTAAATGTTCTTACCTTGATAGACTGTACTTGTATTCCTCAAAATTGCTAGTCTGGAGATTTCATAACACTTAATATATTAAAGGCTATGATAAGCCAGACTTCAATTGAAATGTATATTTTGAAAAGACACAAGTCTGTAAGTTATTAAGCCAGAAAATCCCTAGACTGCTAATCCCTGTTACCACCTGCATTTGCAGGTTTCTAACAGAATGGTGACAGATCCCCTTCCTCTGAGACCATTTGCCAATTCTGTCAGCATTCAGTGCAGAGTAATATTATTCTCCAGATAATGCAGCTTTGTTGCTTAGCAGCAGGTTCTGCTTGTGTACCTGGCAGTTCTTGGCTAATTCAGATAGAAGAAAAAAAAACCTTGAAACCAAACCCAGAAAAAAACTCACCAGTAAGAAGATTCTACTATTATTCTCACTGGATACTGAAACAAGACTGGAAAGAGAAAAGAATATTTTCTGAGCTCTGGCTTGTACTGAAAAAAAATAATCTGACATTATGGAAGTTTTAAAAATTCACATTTTACACAAAACTTCTTTAGCAACACATTGGTTCTATAGAGCAAGAAACAAGTGGTGGTATTTATGCTTCCAGTGGGAGTGAGATACCAAGGCAAAGTTGAAAGAGTCAACACGTACTTTTTTTTTTCTTAAGTCATCATCTATGGAAAATGAAGTTCACATCCCATTGCAGAATATTCTACTAGACTTGAGATAGAGGCAGAAAGTACAAGATTCAGAGCTCCAGTTAAATATATATATAGGCTTAGTGGTACAGACAACAAACTGGATTGTGCTATGAATGGTTATTAATGAAATTTTGCCCAAATTTTTCAATGGAACCTTGGCTTACTTATTTTATCTCAAAAAAATATAGTACTTAACAATTCATTATCCTCACCTTTTATCTATGTAAGTGATAGCCACTTCTGCAGACACTTTCCTACATTGTTCAGCGTGAGCCACACCAGCACCCTTTGTGATACTGTGACAAAGATGGTATCACAAATCTCACACACTGTTGTAAATACTAGATTTAAGTTTCTCTTTAAATAATATGTAGCAGAACAATCACATATTGGGAGGAAAGTAGAGTGAAAGGAAGATTAATGAAACATGATGGTCTGCTACCAAAATTTTTTCTGAAATTCAGAAAAGGGTGATACAAAAACTGTAAACTAATTGAAAGCTAAAGAGTCAGATACAGAGCCAAACAAGCTTTATTTAGTTGTTGGCATATGTATGTTAGAACCCCCTTCCCCTAAGACATCTATGAATTACTTTTTAATGGGTGGTCTAGTATTTTACCTCTGAATGCAGAAAAAATGAGAAGAGTCACCACCAAAACTAGAACACAGCAACCCCTGGGCAACAGCAGGACCCTTCCCATAAGACCCCTTGCCACAAATCAGAGACAGTAATGAACCAGTGGTTTGGAAAAAGATGACAGGAGGTCACATCACTAGCATGTCAAAATATGTTTTAGTGTTTTGGGGACACCTGACACCTGAACAGAAACAAAGACACTGGCTGGTAAAACACATTTCTACGAATGGTAAAAGCATGAGGACAGAATCTGTACAAAAAAAATGTTAGGTAAGTTGGCTTCTTTGAATTAAAAGAAGAAAATTATTGAGTTACCTTCAGCAGTCACACCATAACCATAACTAGGCAAGATTCTTGAGATGAAATAGCTACTTCTTATTTAATAGATTGAATTGGGGAGAGGGGATATTGTGTATTTTAATTAGTTGATTGCAGTCAAATTTAGAGATGGCAACCAAAACTCTTTCACCATGCTGAAAACTGAACAAACACATGTCAGGATTGGTCTGGCCTTAAAGTTTTTATAGTCTAAGCAGAAAACAGTAGGAAGACTAGAACATAAAGAGCTAAAGGAGCTATCCTGAAGCCACAATATACAGCACATAAGAAACCATCTGTTGAAATCTTCTCACTTGATCTTGATGATTATATGTAAAAATTATATAAATTAGAGTTTCTTTTTATTTGGAAAGGCTATCAAAGGACTGAGTGTCAACAGCACATTTAAAGGATGTTCCAATAGAGAAATGTCTGCAAATCTTAGCCCTGTAGGACTCTAAATTAAAACTGTTTTTAATATTGGAAAGAAAGGTAGACAAGGCCATTTAGCACATGAATCTAAGCTATCTACAGTTCTAGAACTTATTCTTCTGTTATTTTTTTATTTATTCTTTTGTTATGCAGGTTAAAGAATACGCATTTTGTCATAAGGAGGTGTGAGTACATAATACAAGCTAAATAATACAACACCAATTAAGATTCTTGTGCTACATCACTTTTAGAGTAAAACATTTCTCAGTTTAATAAACTCACTCCCTTGCTGTATATACAAGAGAAAATGGATTCTGAAATGGCAAGGAAAGAGTCATTCTTCTTTCTTCATCTATAAGTATTTTATAAAACCCTGGTTTTCACTATCAAAGCTATTTCCTGTCATGACCACTGGCGGAACGGATAGTGCCAGAAGCACATAGAAAAATATACACATTATCTACTCTAGTTCTAAATGTACTGTCCCTAAGTATCTAGTGAATAGCACAGTATTTGAAAATCTTTTCTAGACACAGTGTAGGTATTTTTCTCAACAAAACTAGACAAAGAAAAGAAGCTTACAGTGGGTATAAATAAAGCCACTTAGGTTACTGAGTTTTTTAAAAGAGAATAATTCACTGCAGTTTGGATTGCTTAACTTATCTTGATAATATGGAGTAAAAGCAGAAGAAAAGTACACTGAAATAGAGGAAAACTAATACAAAAATTCAAAAATGTCCCAGACTCAAACCTAGGTCTATTTAAATTGAACCATCATATCCTGAGGTTTGGCTCTTGAAACTGTAGAAACAAAGCAGCAGGTAATGGAATGGAAGATAGTATTTCTTTTCAGGGAATGCAAACATGAGATTGATTAATTAGCTATTACCAAATTTATATGCATGATATAACTAAGACTGATGTTTTGATGTTTGGCAGAAGAAATTATTATTTCATATGCTTTTGTTTTGCCAATAGTACATAAAAAGCGGACCAAGAAGTAGATCGGACACTTATTTTACCTTTTGGAAGGGATGATTATATTTTCTTTCTGATCTAAAAGAATAAAACCAATCAATTTTCTAACCAACAAACTATCATTGAGTTCTTCACTTACAAAAATGGCCACCATAAATGGGCAGCTGACTGAATCTGAAAATAATTTTTATTATTATTATTATTATTTGGAGGGCAATAGCTGGCAATGTACAGTGGACAGTCAGTCTGTGTCCGTTTTCCAAAATATCTTTATTTCTGTCATAGTCATAGGTTCAATTACACAGCGGGTATACTCCAATTTGATGACAGAGGTACTTCTTTAGAGGAAAATTCTGGAAAATTTGGTATTTTGCACTAGAATGAATATGTTATTGAATAATGGAATTTAAGTAGTGTGGGGGCTTCGCTCTGTGGAGCATAAAAGGGAAAGAGGATAAAGTCCTGATGACTGTGATGAGAAACAGTACCCCACTGTCAACTCACTCTCAGTAACTAAGCTCTGTTTCTGCTGGTGTTTCTTTCAGACTATCATGACATTGTAAAACTTCTTCACAGACTTAAAGGAGGGTAGTACTTGTCTTGCAGGTTTCTACAATAACCTTATTTGATTCATGAAAACAACAGTGTAGAAAAACATTTGAGAGGTGGTTGTCAGAATATTCAAGAAACTACCAACTTTACTGTTCCTTGGTGGAATAGAAAACAAAATCAAAGCCAACTTTTAGTCCTTCTAAACCCAGACTAGACGTGCGCCCTGACATAGTCTCAAATCCATATCAGACGGAGACCCAGATCTCTCTTTCATAGGAAAGAGGCAACTGCACTGACCAGGATGATCAGCAGACCACAGTATAACAGTGCTACGAGTCTGTTTCTCTGCTATCAGCTGTGTTTACATTCAGGGAAAACAAGGCTTTGTTTATCCACATGAAAGCCAGAACATAAAAATTAAAAAACTGTGAATATATCTTTTTTTTTTCTAGGTTAACCGTATCTATTTGAAGAGCTTTAGTATGCTCATAGCAAATTAGCCAGTTACTGAAAATCAATCTCATTTTCAGAACTTCAGAACAAAGCTTCTTGCCACACTTGCTTTCCACTAACGCAAGGATATTTTATTGGAAGAATAGCTGTATTACTTTCAGTAAAGAGACAAGGGAAGAAAAGAAGCTTAGCATACCAACCGATAAAATATACTTCACTTTTCTCTTGTAAAACAAAAGTTAGAACCTCTGGGTTTGCAGAGTGAAAATTAATGAAATGGAATAAAAAGTCCTCTAAAAATCAAGTTTTCAGATTAAAGGATTTGTCAGTGAATATTTTATAAAAAAAACATTGTGTAAAGCCTTTGGCATTATGAAGAAAACACCTGAGTATGAAGCAATAAAAACAAAAATATTTCACCCATTAAAAGTTCTTGAATTAATCTTTGTGATGTAGCGGTCATATTTCCATTTTTTGTCTGAAACAGGATATAGTTACAATATATTCCTTTGTTCTGTCAATAGCAGATCAAAAGCAGACATGAAACAAGGCAGAATTCTTTTGTTTCCCTGTTTATCACTTCACATCTATTTATTCATGACTCCTTGCAAACTGCTGAAGGCCTAAATCAAACCCAGCTTGTATGGCTAGGTTGTTTCAAATATGCTTGAGCAGTTTTGCAAATGATAAAATCACTTTAGCCCACATCTTCAAAGGTGCTTAGGCTGATAATGAGATCAATGCCCTTTCGAGGAGGTAAGTCTTGAATAGTAAAAATAATTGGAGTTCAAATGGGAGTTTTAAGAAGGGTTATGTTCCAGAAACGGTTAATTGTAGCTGCCATTTATGTGCCAATAAAAGGGTCAATTTTCACTTTACTACATGAGAAAACATTTAAAAGACAGACTTTTACAATTAACAGGCTATGAACTTTATGTATTTTTGTCACTTATTAGTGGGAGGTTATGAAGAAACATACAGCATACACCCTGTGGTGTATTCAAGGCAAAATTAGTTTCAAGA